TGGACACGAAATGGACCTATGGATCGTGTGGTTATTAGTATGTTGATGTTGTTCCTGTGGGTATTCTATCCTGTTGGCCTTATCGTAATGAAATTGCTTTTCTCATTAACTATTGGACAAATTGCTTTTGAAATTTTCAACTGGTAAATATTGTATTTTTCGCGAGAAGGATATTACTTTAATTTATTCTTAAAACTTTCTATGAATCCTATGAGAGCTGATATTTCATCTAAAATTTGGTATTATTTTTAGAAACACAGATTTTATTCCGCAAAGCGTGACAGCTGTCTTGCACTTTGATTTTGCAAAATCTTGCGACGCGAAAGTCGGAAGTTTTTCGATCCCGGTGACGCACTGTAGGCATTCATGGTAATTTACTGTGAAGTGTAAATACTTTGAATTAATCAATGCTACAGTCGAATGAGAATCGAATAATTTAGCATTTTTTTCTCGTTGCCACAAGACACATGAATCATCATTGACACAGTATCTGGTATAGATGGAGCAGCCCAGTTACTAGTACTAGTAAGTTACGATAGTCCCCAGTTTCAGCTTCGTCCAGGGTAATATTCTTGGGTAAATTGTGCGTAAATTGTTTCGTTTTGGCTCTCGTGTCCATATATTTGAGCTTTGCGCTCCTGTTTTCAAAAGCTAATTACGGGCCATTCGCAAGATGTCGTATGTGCCTGTTGACTAAGTATGAGTTACCACGTGGTATAGAAAGTCATTTCAAGCACGGACATTTGAATAATGAATAGCAAAAATATACAAGGCTTCTTATATTTAATATTATAAAATCCAAAGGCCCAAATTAGCTTAGCCTAAGCCATGGGAGGGCAACCATTTCCAGTTCGCATGCCAAAATCGGCAAATTCAATGACAAATTACTTCCCCGTGAGACTTTTACTACTGCATTGCCGCCGACAGAGATTTACATCTAGTTTATGTTTGGTCACCTACAGGGAAATACAAAAACCAATATTTGCACAGTCAGGCTACTTTCATTACGAGACTTGATAAAGTTCAAAATAGAGAACAGAGATTCACAAGCGAAAGCACGGAGAGTAATGCAATTTTCAGGAATGCCATTCCAAGCCCACAATAGTTTGTTATTGACACTACTCTCTTGAATTCCCTCTCTAATCGCATTATTTTTCAATATTTTAACTCAACTCTGATGTTAATAGGTTTTTGCTTAAATTGAGCTACTCTGAAATTCAATAACCTCCCCTGGCCTAGGCAATAAGCATTTTCATAGTATATATCAAAAAGAACTAAAAATTTTACCCATGTCGGCAATTTAAGTAATTGAATGTAAGTAATACACAATGTGTCAGCGCACACGTTTCTAATCACGAAAACAGGTTCGCAGAATGATGACAAGGACTTTTTCGATAATCGTTCAGCAAAATTGAAAATGCCATAGAACAGGGATGGCTAACCTATGGCGCATGCGCCAAACGTGGCGCATTGCATGATTAGAGATGGCGCATTGCATCTTTAACCCTTCCATGCCAAAATTGTTAATTGCAATTGGCTTCTCCACGCCAAGCCGTTTCTTTGCGATTTACATGGTGACTTTTGATTGTACCCAAAATCTATTCTCCTTACTCCACGTCGCCCATTTACGGCTTGTTGGAATTAGAAACAACAGGCGATTATCGACGTTAGCTTTTGGACGGACTTTATGACATTCATTCTAGACTTTTAGCAAAAATTAGTAAAATTTACTATTTTTTCCCTACTGAAGTAAAAAATTTAGAACTTCTGGAAAAATAGAAAATCGTCATTTATCAGCTTGAAACATGGATTTTCCATTGCCCAGACTTCCCAAATATCTCCCAATAACCATTGAACAACCAGTTGAATTGCCCAAGCCTAAAAAATTTATTATAACTCAACCCACAACATGCTGAAAATGACCCCTAAATACCATCTTTTTCATCCAAACTTCAAATGACCGTTGTCAACAAAAGCAAAGCGTAAAATCGCTTGCTGTGACGCAAGTACTAATCTCGAAGAAGCCTGGAGTAAAATCACGCGACGCTGGGCCAAACAGCTTCTTAATCGTACTTTTTTCTCTTCGTTGTTAAAAACAGCTTTATTGCCTAATGCTCATAAGGCAGAATACGTATTACTCCTACTTTAACGAAGGCTGTAGTTTTTACTTGAAGCATGGCGTCACAATGGTTCCCTGTTTCGTAATCAATCGTAATCTGTTTATCGTAAATTGCTCGAATTTTTGCGTAGATACGAGAATTTTCTTTGAGTTAACTATACATATACGTGTGTGTATTATAAATTTATATAATTTCAACAAGAAGCGGACATTAGGCGTGGGAATACAAGAGATTTACGGCGCATCTGAAACAATATGTTTAAAACGTGGCGCATGGTATGTGAAAGGTTGGCCACCCCTGCCATAGAAGATATCTGAATGTTTAGCTTAAATTTTTCTGATTTCAGTTTTGTTGTATCTGAGGCCGAGCGCTTCGAAACACTGATATATCGAAAAGGCGGTGTTTCGACTTTCGACGGCTCAAGTATATGGCATACCCGGCCACTCTTTCGGTTACCAGTCCGTGTCGGGTATTAGTTAGCCAGTTTAGTTATTTGTTTCAGATTCATGGACTTGGTGGCGGAAGAAGACGTAACCTACTAGCGGTTACGTGAAACAACCTAAGTCTACGAAACTGCGAATCCATGCATCGTGATAGGAGTGCGGTGACCAGCGTGTTCCACACGTTTAGCACGATGCGCTGCTACACCGCCGACTTACATGCTAGCGCGATAGAAACATGTGTTCTGCTAATTTGTCACAGTTTGTCCTCAAATATCTGTCAGTTTCAGCAACCTCAACTCTGTATAGTAAAGATTTCTCAATTGCTGGCCAAACGGCTAGAGAATTGAGGTCAAGCACAATAGGCAAACGCGTAGAATATCTTGTGTGTTTTAGAAGGGTAATTAAGATTTATGAATGCATAAAATATGTAATTAGACAAAAGTGGCTACATTTCTCTCACGTTTCTCTAACTGATATCCGGTTTCTTTTCATTTACATGTGCAAGCTTGTAAAATTTCACTTGTACAAAATGTTTTCGCATAATTCCAGCGCGGTGACCGTACATTTGAACCCATATGTATGTATCGCGGGTTCAATTTATATGCGGGTGCTAAAACCCATGGGTTATGGATAGTAAGGGTTCAAATATCCGTAAAACAATTTTTTTTTTCTATAGATGCAATAGTATGCAGGTGCAATTGTCGAGGGTTCAAACGTACGTGGGTTACTATGCCTTAACCAGGGCTTAATAATTAAGGTAGGGAAGGCCGAATAAGAAATAATCTTGCGTTTCTAAAAAAATATCAGATATAGGGTGAGCCCTGCCCCATAAAAATGGGACCCAGTCCTTTTAGATTATATTGAATGGGTTGCGCAACGGAAGCATGTGCACACTGTATACGGCACGTATAAAAAAGAATGCCCGCAAAGCTTGAATCTGTTCTGGACAGACATTACCATTAACTTATTCACGGTTCAGAAATATCGTTTCCAGGCGCGTCGGCTAACGATGGATTATGTCACTGTTGCTATAAGTCAGGATTCAACTTAATATCACGCACTAATAATATCGCGTCGATAATGACGACAATCGTGTCCGCCCGCTAGTATATCGGATTCATTCTTATTCACGGAAACCAAAATTATAGATGAAATAGTTGGCGGGAAGAAACTAAGGCGAATCTGTCAGTACTGTGAAATGTTTTTAAGAAGGTTTTGAATGTTTTTAAGAATGTTTATGAACAGGAGACTTTGCCCTTTTCCGTCCTACCTTGCCTTTTACATTTGGTCAGGCCAAAGTAATCATATAAGAGCGATTTTATGTGGACGATTAAGTTAATCCAAGCGCCCTGTTTCGTCGAGCGCTTAATAGACGCTATCCGCCATAGTACATAACAGTTTCCTCGAAACAAAGAAAATGTTTTTGTATTAGGTTTGACAGTCAGTATTGCAAAACCAAGATTACGTGTTATTTTTACGTATACGACTGTTGTTCATAGTTGTTTATGAAAAAATAAAATAAAAATAGGAAACCTAACCACGCACGTGGAAAAGTCTAAAAGCCAATCGTGATATCTAGAAGATGAAATTAGCTCATTGAATTAGTCACTGTGCGTTCGGAAATGTATATATATATATATGTTCGCCTAGTCAGATAAAAGTGGGACACAACCCTAAATCGAAGTCAGAGCAGGAAAGCATTGAGATGCATTCGTGTTGTAATACTAGACGGAAGATGAAGGATTGCGAGTAACATTAAGTCAGATTATAAACATGAGTGCGATGCTACTATAGGACTAGTAAGTTACGATAGTCGACAGTTTCAGATTCGCCCCGCATATGATTTTCGTGGGAATAGTGAGTAAAAATATTTCGTTTTGGTCTTCGTGTCTATATATTTCTTCTTCGTGTTTATTAAATTTTTACGGGCCAAAAATATGATAGATATTTGTTGACTGAGTATTCAAGAAAGTCATTGCAAGCCTAAAAATTTGAATAATGACTAGAAAAAAAAACAGGGGGCAGGCAAAAAAATTGAAATGCATTCGTGTTGTAAGATCAGATAGAATTTTATAAGGATTGCACGGGGCTCCCGAAGTATGCGAACCAAGATGGCGGACATCGGAACGTAACATGGGTAACAGGTCAGGGTTAGGCGATAATTTTTTTCCAATTTTCCTTATTTTAGTCCTATTATCAGTTCGAAGACTAGCCAAGAGCCTCCCGTAGTATTTATACCTAAAATTATGGCCTAACCCTAACCTAGTACAGATATTACGTTCCGATGTCCGCCATCTTGGTTCGCATACTTCGGGAGCCCCGATTGCACTCTATATACAATCAGATTATAAACATGAGTGCGATTCAGCCAGCCACCCACTGAAATTTATTGCTGAAAATGTACGAGAAACAATTCCCTAAAACTAATAAATATATAGTTTTCCAGATATTATTTTTTAATTTAGTTTATTGCAATACGAAACATAAAAAATGACACGACAAATTTTGTGGGGGAAGGCGATTTGCTTATTCATATTTCTTAGTTATGCTAGGGCAAAAACTCCCGAAGTGTGTGAATACAATGGTAATATGTGCGATGTTTCAACGGAATGCCTTGGGAAATTATGGAGTAAGTTATGTTCGGTTTTTGTTTTTTTTCGTTGTGAATAAATCATTATCTAATGTATGTAATTTGAAGACGAACGTATAATTTTGACGGTTTCTCGGAACTATTCAACTCGTATACTGCTTCATTTTTTTTCAATCCACAATAAAAAGATAATTTGTCGTTATATAAAATAAAGTTATGCAGAATCAAATGTAACTTTCGCTTGATGTCGAAATTGTTAACACACTCTCCTAGCTGCACGTGTCTTTAAACAAATATTTGATTAATAGTATGTTCTGACAGAAAGTAAACCAGCCGGCTTATGCAATTTGGAGCTAAGCCCATATGCCTCAAGGTTTTCGATAATCTTACGATATAAGTTATATAAAATAAAGTTATGCAGAATCAAATGTAACTTTCGCTTGATGTCGAAATCGTTAACATACTCTCCTAGCTGCACGTGTCTTTAAACAAATATTTGATTAATAGTATGTTCTGACAGAAAGTAAACGAGCCGGCTTATGCAATTTGGAGCTAAGCCAATATGCCTCAAGGTTTTCGATAATCTTACGAATTAAGTTAAACAGCCAAATAATGTTTAGAGCATTTGGTATCGTGCCGTATTGATTTGCATATTGCGAAGATTTTAACGTTCACAGATTCGAGTTCGTGGTTTGATCTGCCAGACAACCTATAACATAATCCTCATGCCTCAATTCATTCAATACGCCTTCCGTATTCACACTGTTAAAATTATATATTTTTGTAACTAGAGTGGTCGTCGGGCTAAGCGTATAGATGAATCACTCTTGATCAGTCCTTGAAAATAGTAACAGTTTGTAACCACGCAAACTCGCGGTTTTATGCTCGTCACGGTATGAAATTGAAATTCCATTTAGAATTTCTAAATCCGTGATAAAATGCAAATAGTTGATTTCCGATCATATTTTATTTTTAAATTATTTTCGAGGAGTCAAATTACTAGAAAATCATAATAATAATTCTTATCTTATCGCAATATAATAACAACGAAACCGCCTGAAAATTGAGCTTCGTCAAAGTCCATTCTTTGAATTATACATGCCAAATCAACTCTATAAACTATCTCCTATTCTATCAAATTGTAGATGACGCCAACACGTACGGATGCCGTGGCATGACTTATCCAACGTTATATGAAACCAGAGGAAAGACGGAATTTTGGATCGGTCTTTCACGCCCACAAGAATATAATTCCAGCAATTTGACTTTCTCGGTTGTTCAGTAAGTTAAGAATATTTTAACTTTATATTTTTCTCTTTTTCCGATACTCCCGAAGTATGTGAACCAAGATGGCGGACACTTGGACACGCATGTGTACCATGTTAGGGTTAGGCCATAATTTTTATTCCAATTTTCCTTATTTTAGTTATATTACGAGTTCGGGGACTAGCCAAAGTGGCTCCCGTAGTATTTGTACCCGAAATTATGGCCTAACCCTGCCCTGGTATACATCTTACGTTCAGGTGTCCGCCATCTTGGTTCACATACTTCGGGAGTACTTTTTTTTCACGAAATTGAAAATTATGTTGAAATGCACAATTTATAGACCACAGTGGACGGAAAATTAGTGACGCAGGGGGTTCGCACGTTTGGGAAAGGCGTGATTATCAGTGAACCTTTTTTTTTTTTTAAAGAAATTGGTTGGTGGTTTTCTGAAATAAGGAACCTGCTTATAGTTAAGGTTCTAGGTTGCTTTTGGTTGATACCTCTTAGGTCCTATTTGATTTTAATTTTGACTTCCACATCATGGAAGCATACAGTAAACAGCTTTCGTAAACTTTGATGGAAAGTGAATATTCATATCAAAAATGAAAATCGGACTTGGGTACTGACAAACGGTCTGCTATGTCGCCGAATTTTTTTCTGTTTTTCTATGGACGACACTGTATATATAATAGAAAAAGCTCAATTTTATTGAACAAAATTTTAATTTTCCAGAGAAATAGATCACACTTGGTCGAATGTACAAGGTTGTTGCTCGTTGCGGCTGGGAGAGTTTTGCGAATTGCCGCCTTTCAAAAAACAAGGAAGTTATCACATATTTGCCCCGTACGGGCGTAATAAACACGAATATTGTGAATATGAAATTCAAGGTAGGTAGGGATATAGTTTAGTAGAATTTGCATATTTATCCCAAGAAGCGAAAAGCCCATAAGAAGGTCTAGTCATATGGCAAACGACGGCCTCTCGTCCGGTTACCATTCCATGTCGGGTATGGGATTAGTTAGCTAGTTATTTGTTTTTGGAAGCATGGACATGGTGGTAGAGAAAGCCTTGACCGACCAGTGAATACGTGAACCACCCTACGGCGGCGAGGAGTCCGGCAATCCGCACATAACCATCACCTCATGGGATTTGAATCTGCGGACCCACACAGGGTGATCAGAGGTGCGGTGGCGAGCGTATTCCTAACGCTTAGCACGATGACCCGCACCGCCACGGTATAATTATGTAATGCGGCTCGTTTATCGAATGGGCTCAAGGCTCGATTGCCGTGATCTAATATTTCTTTTGTGGAAGTTGAATTTTCTTAATTATTTAATTTGTTGAAAGTAGAGACGAAATCAGGGTCGAAATATGGTCAAGGATCGTGTTGTTTTGTTTGCGTTGGAAATTTACGTCCCGTCTACTTTAATATTTGTAAAATAATTACCGAGATACTTGAACAAAAAAATATTAAAATATATATATAATAACAAAATACTTCCATCGACGAAATATGCAATCACGGCGTTTGAGACCCGCACGTTGTTGATAAACGGATCTCTGCACTTGAGTCTATACGTGGTCCAAGACCTCCGTGGGCTAGAGCGTTTGTATACAAAATAATGGCTAAATTCCCATAATTAACCGCGCTATGTATACAAACAGGCGCGCAGCCAGGATTTTTAAAAACGGGGGGGGGGTCATAATCATAAATTCCCATTGCGGTCTGTAACAGTCTTCGCATTACGCGCTCGTTAAAGGGACGTCTTTTCAGCGTATAATGATTATTCTTGTCCGTGAAATATTCAATCTCTGACAACTACAAAATTCTAAAATGTCTTTATATATTAGTTTAATTGTGTCCAACGTAACTCGCGGTTGCTTCTTCTTACGTCAAAATTAAAACATTAGTTCTCTCAGTTCTCTGAAATGCCACGGCGATCGGTGGACATAAAAATATGAGATAAACGGTGTATTTAATTTTAATACGTATTTTTGGAATCTTGCCAACTCGTTATCGCCGTTAGAAAAATGCATATGAAAACAATGAAAATGCATATGAAGTATATCGTTAAATCAAAAATACATATTCATCGCCGCGATTACGCCACTTGTTAAAAGAGCCGAGTTTACAACGAAAAATGATTTTTCTGTTGCGCAAAGTAATCAATTCGTGACCGATAGGGCATATTTCAAATGTCTTGCTTTATTAATTTAATTGTCTTCAATTTAACCAGCGTTTGCGTCGACAAAACAAAATAATTTTTCACAATTCACAATTTTAAAATACCTCGGCCATTTGCCGACATAAAAATAAAAATTTGTGGTAACTGCCCGTCGCCTATCATATATTGTTTTGATCCGTATTTTTTATATTTTGCAAATTCGACAAATTTGAATGTGCTTGTAACATTGACTCCGTTCAATCGCAATGCTGACACTCCGATTATTTTTAAAGATAAACCTCCTGAAAAATCCGTAAATCTGCTGTACATTCTCATGGACGAAAATTTATTTCAGTACAATAAAAATTGATAGATATACTTCAGATTAATTATCTTATACATCATCACAAACCGTGAAAAAATCGCGTTTTCAACCTTGTTTAATGATAACACGAAAATTTTCTACGACAATTTTAAAGTAATGGATAAAAGGCAAATCCCACCCACAATTAACCGTGTTTCGATTTTAGTCACGGTATGTTCCTAAACGGCGACCAAACATAATGTGCCCCGTAGGCACACGAAATTTTGCGTTTTTGCGACTAGAAAAGCGTTTTTAGACTGTCGCGGGACTCAACTAAACTTATATTGTTTACGGTTTTATTTTCAGTATTTTATAATGCCGCTTTTCAATCAAATTTAGATCGCGGTTTTACTCCTTCTGTTGTCTTTGGAACCTCGCCACCGATGAACGTATAATAACTCACGAATTCCGTGCAAAGTAGAAAAAATAAAATAATTATCGTGTTTATCGTGGCACAAATTTATGATTTAGAAAGAATAAAAACCGACGTAAGGGCGTTTACGGCATAAATAACACGCTGATGAAAACATGGGCGATTTTAGCGGAAGGCAATTGCACGCTTTTTCAGTTTTCACATTTGCGTGCGGGTACAAAAATAAAATATTTATCATTGTTCCCGCGGCACAAATTTGTGATTTAAAGAGAATAAACACCAATGTAAAGGGCGTTCACGGCATAAATACCATGCCGCGTTGATGAAAACGAACGGCAATTTTAGCAGAAGGCAATTGCACGTGTTATCGGCAACTTTTTCACTTTTCAGAAAATTCAAAAGGGGGGGGTTTCGACCCCGACCCCCCCCCCCCCCCCCCCCCCCCCCCCTGGCTGCGCCACTGTATACAACTACCCACAATTTACTATTTCAAGAATAACATCATACGTTATCTACGTTCTTATACGACACAGTCAATCACAATCATCAGTTAAATGAAATAGCATTTACAACGCATTTTCAACATTGCTAAGATATTACGGGACTTAATCCTAATAATGGTAAAATTTGTCTCTGGGAAGAACGATTGGAGGATTAAATATTGACCGTGACATTTCGCAAACATTCCTCCATTACATACCTGCCCTTTGCATTGTTTAAATTACATACGTTCGTTCGCATAATGTCAAGAAATTCCACGCAACGCTAATCCCATACATGGAGTTTCATATTTACATATTCGATTGCTATTTGTTCACGTAGGACACCCCGGATTCTTGACTGAACGCAGAGTTTTATGATCATAGAATCAAATATCCGGTTTGATACCAAATATAGCGATGACTCCCTAAAAGTAAAGTTCAATATTCCGCGTTTCCACCACTATAGCGATGACTCCCTAAAAGTAAAGTTCAATATTCCGCGTTCCCACCACACCCGCATATAATAATACTGATAGAAGACACTAAAATTATTGAATGAAATGATTGCAAAGATAGCGATTCAATTTCTTGAATAAAATCAATTGGAATTTTCAGAATATCAGGCCGTCGAATTGAAATGGTGTTTTCTGGATGATGAAGGAGTCTGTTTATCTCTTGACGATGGGGTTATTCATGTTGACGAAAAATTTGGTTATGATAGAGGAGAAATAACATCGTGAGTTCTGTAGCAAGTTGATTTAATTTTTAAATGTAAATGTTTGACCTTGCTGTTGACGACGTCAGAAAAAATTGAATTCATCCAATAATAGTACATTCAGGTCCTAATCGCAAACCAAGTCCCCCCGCCGAAGTAACTCACATTACCGGTAAAACCGTGAAAATCGGTAGCGATACGGTGAGACATAGAGCCCCGAGTTTCTTTGCTGAAAATCAAGTCTGAAAGTCAAGCATGATGAAATAAAAAGTGTTCCCCTTCGATTAAAAATAAAATTGATTCAAAAAAATCGATTCAGAAGTTCACTTAGTGTACAAGAAAAATGCAAGATTTAAATACCGATTTTCAGCGATTATGAGTGAATGAATGAAATATATTGTTATTCATTTACTCATGAATATATATCTAAACGTAATATTTGAAGACCAGTGCAAAACTGGCGAGTAAGACGGATGATTAACTAGCATCGTTCCAGTTCGTGCAGAAAGTGTTTCCATCAAATCTCAAATCTGACCTGATTTGTTTCATCAAATCTTGATGGTTATTGTTAGACATGAGTAATGTTTATAATCTGATATCGCAATTTTTACGTTGTCTCTAAAGATAGAAAATTTTATATTAGTCATGCAGAAATTATATTCGTCATTTATATGATTAGTTTCGAAACAACATTCATTTTATTTCAGAATTGATTTCCTATTTTTCGAAGTTCCATCTAAACATGGTCAACTGGGGGATGTGAGCCCTGATGGTGTCACTGTAAACATCCCGAATATTACATTAGATGGAAACAATGTTTACGTTAATAATAGTGTTGTGAAAGCTGATATGGTGAAAAATACTGATCGCTTCAACATACTTGAACACTTTGAGAAGCACAACACAAGTTGTGGAAAATTGATTTGTGTATTTTATCGAATCAATCGGTTTCATAATAAATTCAGTGAAACGCCGATTTGTGCGTCAGGTGAGTGACAAAGAAACAAATTTTTATCCACAATCTGCTTGTATTTTAAATCCAACGGTTACTTCGATTAAGAGTTATTTTCTGCATTGAGAATATAGGCTTAACTACTCTTCTCCATATTAGGCCATATAACGCTTGTTGATCACATTTAAGTTGCAAAGTCCAAAATCTCTCTCCATTGATTTATCCTCTGACGTCATATTAGGTTACGGTCGTGGCAGTTCTAAGTATCGTTTTTCACTATATTTGCACTTTAATAAATTATATTTAATTTGTTAACATGAGATGAGAAATGTGGTTGAACACATCACATATACGCAGAAAAACTGTAATTCTAACTGAAAATCTATTATTTAAATAAAAATCCTATATTATACAGCGGAGGTGGACAACCTGTCCGACTAAATCTCCGTAATGCCTTGCGATCAAATCATACAGAGCAACTCCCGGGGATGCCAGAAATAAAAGCGTATAAAGATATAAAGATCTTTTAATGGTCCTCTCTCTTCGCTCGGCAGCTACATATCAGCCCTGACTTTTCAACAAATAATACGCGTCAAAATGCGCGTTGGCAGAATCTCATGGTGTAGTGAGAATGACGTCATCGGAAACACCGCGCTCATTAAAATTTCAGTGAACGATTATCAAAATTCTTGACCATGTTTATCATGATAAAAATATCGAAAGAGATGTAAAAAATGTTTTATCCTCGAAACTGCTCACGTATACAAGTAAATTTATCTAGAAAATTACGAAAAATGCAAATTTCTGCTCTGGTGATCACATTCCCCATAAGAGCTAATGTTAAAATTGTTTTGTTTACATCACTTTTCTTTTTGCGCGTAGGATTGGTTTTTGATGAATAAAGTCTAATGAGAAGCAAATGCAAATGGCCTCAAAAGTATAGGCTATGATTTCGTTAAGATGCCATATGTATATATTTATCAAACTCTTTGTCGACGGATTGTGCAAAGACTTTTCGGTACTCTTGAAGTATGTGAACCAAGATGGCGGACATCGGAAAGTAGTATGTGTACCTGTATGTGTTAGGGTTAGGATATAATTTCAAGTACAAATACTACGAGAGTCACTTGACTACTCCCCGAACTCGTAATCGAACTAAAATGAGAAATATTGGAATAATATTAGGACCTAACCCTTAGCTGGTACGCATTCTATGTTTCGGTGTCCGACATCTCGGTTCACATACTTCGAGAGTACCAACTTTTCGACGGTACCCAGATATCAGCGAAAGTAGCGCCGCCTCGCACCCATCCATGTTGGTTAGGGTCATCGTTTCATTTTTGATGCATCAACTAAAAAATAAAATCCTAAATGGGAACAAGGTTCAAAGTTCGTTGTATTTCGGAGAATTTGCAGAATTGTCCCGGGGCAGGATTGCGCATACATTTTATCTCGAAGTAAGTGAACCAAGAATTAGAATTATAGAGATTGACACTAAACTGGTTATCAGATTGAAATCACTTTTACGAATATGATTTTTGACACGTCAGAGAAGACAACTATTGTTGGCAGCTTTATACAAAAATAATCGTAAAGACAGTCATTTGTTGGCCAAGGCATCGCTCCATTATAAAACAAAAACAAACTAACCGCTGCTTGATTATTGTTTGGAAAGAAATTTCTTATTGGCACGGTGTCAAGTTCGTTCAACATCCGACGCGATCGACTATTTCGAGACCCGGCGATCAACGTTTTGGCCACCCCTGATGTGTAGGATAGATGTTAGGATTTGGCAGATCGCCATCCAAAAACACTCAATGCAGAAAAATTCATTTTGTTTTCAATTCTCGACAAAATAGGCTTGAATACAAATATTAAAAAATATGGATGGATGGTATGTTAATGAGTCAGCATTTTATCATAATCCCTTAGGCTTCATGCTGAATAATATTATTTTAATGTTGCTATTAGGTTAATCTCATTTAATGAAATTGAATTTCGCAGAACTTATGTGTAATCGCATTTTAATTTAGTCGCTATTTGTTTTCAGCTGATCTATCGTCTGCGGAATGTTCTACAAGTGAAGGTCAAACACCCACATCTTCAATAAACACTCCTGTTATCGTGGTATTTGCTATGTTTGGTGTTATCATTTTGATAATTATCGCAGTTATTAAACGAAATTCGTGTCATCTACCACTATCACAACATTGTAAAAGAAGCCAACGCATGGTGAGTGTCACGTTTATAATGTAATCATGATGTTCTTGGATATGAGAAATTGCTAGCAATTAAAATTTACATCTTTGATTCCCCGAGTGAATTGGCATTGGTGGACTTTGAGCCCGAGTTCTTGAACTGTGATAGCGACAGTCTCGAAGTGCTTATCACTATGCATAAAATAAATCCACTCCATCTAACAAATTGAGCAACACCGGGGTAAATTTTGCAAGCAAGAAAATATATGATTAAATGTGACCGTTGGTCACATAGTAGTTTGCAATTATTTTGAGTTCGCAACTGCAGCGTTCTCTGTTAAGAAATACGTGCTATTGCGTTCTTACTGCGAGAGGCTCTTCATCGCTGTGTCACATATCACCTATGGCACATTAGAAAATACACACAGTTGAGAGGTTGATTTTTATTTTGAAGTTTGCCAAAGAATTAACGATAGGAAAAACGTTAAAAACCCTCTATTAGAATATCATCGCCCATCATTCATTTGAAGCGGTGAGAAGACCTCATAGTAGTAATCCCTAATGTACAAGGTACCATATAAATGATTGAAAACGATGAAAACCGGAATTACAGCGAGCAAAATGAGAGACGAAAATCATCTGTTCAAAAATATTCAGAACTCCCGCGAGAATCTTCTCTCTCTGGTTGTTAGTACATTGCGGGGGCCCGCAGCATGCCCTCTCCGCAATTGTGTAATGGTTGTCGAGCGTAGATGGGCTCGAATATAGAGCCCCGGAATTGCATGATAAAAAGTTTTTACTTGTTCTGATCCAAAATTGTACAAATAAAGAATCTAGTAGGAACAAAAGTCATTTCAAGTGTTATTTTCTAGATATTTCAATAAGACTTACGTAAGAAAAACTATTAAAAAACAGACCTAATAAAAAGAAATAGGCAATTGCTAGGTTGAAGAAAAAAGAAAACCCTTCTAAGTTACACGTGAGAACTGTCACTGAATATCTTATATCACCGTCTTGTTCAAATATTTGACAAAGTTAACAATGAGTCAAGGACTCTTTAAAGTTTGTCCAGAGGTACAAAGAGCAAATCTAATAATGAAGTGCCACTCAGACTTTGTAACGAACAATTAATTTGGGTGTCGGTAGAGAAGGATGTTCATTGGTTCCCAGAAGATTGACGCCTTTCTTTCACCAAGGATTTAAAAGTTGACGCTCTATCGCATTTTATTCGACATTTCATCAATCGTGTACCCTGTAGTAGGTTTTCATCAGATAATTTAGATAGATTTTAGCATCCGCATATAGATCGCACCCGCGGACATTTGTACCCATGTATATTTGCACCGGCGGATATTTTTGCACCTTCGTACATTAGCACCTACTTACATTTGCAACCATGTATTTTGCACCCATGTACATTAGCAATCATGTACTTTGTACCCATGCATATCTGAATCCACGGACATTCAGCCAAGATTGACACAAATTTGGTCGAGTGTCGGTGGTTTTTAATAATCAAAATAAGTTGCCGCATTTGGTAAAGACAGTTAATCATATTTGGCCGAAATATTGCGAAGCATTGTGAAAATATATTGAGCAAGGACTAGTCCGGACTGATAAAAAAAGATAAAACCGGTAACAGAACATCAAGGTTTTGTAATTGAAAATGGTTCTCGCACAGAATAAACACACTGGCTCATACTTGATATTCGATAGTAGTTAAATTGGGAATATTGAACTGTTAAAAACAAAAAAAACGATCGTCGAAATTCCTAAATCTCGTTGCCTTGGGTAAATATAATCCAATGATCAGGACATTTTCAATTAAATACTGCACGAAGATAGTTATACATTAAACATTTAGGCTACAATTTAGCTTTTTTTTAAATTTCAATCATGCATTGTGGTGGAGAAATCCCACTATTTAAATACGGTAACTATAAAAATAGAATAGGATTCTGGATTCGATTTAAATATTCTAAAACAGTGGTTCTCAACCGCCGGTCCGCGAACCGTCAACGGTCCGCAAAGGATTTTTACCGGATCGCGGGAAATCCCGTCATATTGTTGTTTCTCTGCCGTCTCAATCGCTTTACCGATGCCGAAAAGACGAAGTTGCGTTGGTTCATTACGCAATTTCTCTTCCGTCGTCATATTACTGTTTGATAAGCGCGACATTAATTATCACGGTGACGTATTGGCAAGAGAGAGAAAAGTGAGAAAAACGGCTGCAAATACTGAAGCTCTAACTTCTTCTACTTTTTAAACTTTCACTTTTTACAATCGACGGAATTGCCTGCTTTGAAGAGAGCTCGTTTCAATCGCGAAAGCGCTCGACCAATAATTACGACTTTACGTAATTCGTAACTTCCCTTCCGTAACTCGAAATAATTCCGTAATTCCGTAAATCTGTAAATTACGTGCAAGCCTAATTGCATGATAAAATTTTTTTACTCGTTCTGACCCAAAATTGTACAAATATAGAATTTAGTAGGAACAAAATTCATTTCAAGTGTTAATTTCTAGATATTTCGATAAGACTTACGTAAGAAAAACTATAATAAAACAGACCTAATAAAAAGAAATAGGCAATTGCTAGGTTGAAGAAAAAAGAAAACCCTTCTAAGTTACACGTGAGAACTGTCACGGAATATCTTATATCACCGTCTTATTCAAATATTTGACAAAGTTAACAATGAGTCAAGGACTCTTTAAAGTTTGTCCAGAGGTACAAAGAGCAAATCTAATAATGAAGTGCCACTCAGACTTTGTAACGAACAATTAATTTGGGTGTCGGTAGAGAAGGATGTTCATTGGTTCCCAGAAGATTGACGCCTTTCTTTCACCAAGGATTTAAAAGTTGACGCTCTATCGCATTTTATTCGACATTTCATCAATCGTGTTCCCTGTAGTAGGTTTCCATCAAATAATTTAGATAGATTTTAGCATCCGCATATAGATCGCACCCGCGGACATTTGTACCCATGTATATTTGCACCGGCGGATATTTTTGCACCTTCGTACATTAGCACCTACTTACATTTGCAACCATGTATTTTGCACCCATGTACATTAGCAATCATGTACTTTGTACCCATGCATATCTGAATCCACGGACATTCAGCCAAGATTGACACAAATTTGGTCGAGTGTCGGTGGTTTTTAATAATCAAAATAAGTTGCCGCATTTGGTAAAGACAGTTAATCATATTTGGCCGAAATATTGCGAGGCATTGTGGAAAATATATTGAGCAAGGACTAGTCCGGACTGATATAAAACGATAAAACCGGTAACAGAACATCAAGGTTTTGTAATTGAAAATGGTTCTCGCACAGAATAAACACACTGGCTCATACTTGATATTTGATAGTAGTTAAATTGGGAATATTGAACTGTTTAAAACGAAAAAACGATCGTCGAAATTCGTAAATCTCGTTGCCTTGGGTAAATATAATCCAATTATCAGGACATTTTCAATTAAATACTGCACGAAGATAGTTATACATTAAACATTTAGGCTACAATTTAGCTTTTTTTTAAATTTCAATCATGCATTGTGGTGGAGAAATCCCACTATTTACATACGGTAACTATAAAAATAGAATAGGATTCTGGATTCGATTTAAATATTCTAAAACAGTGGTTCTCAACCGCCGGTCCGCGAACCGTCAACGGTCCGCAAAGGATTTTTACCGGATCGCGGGAAATCCCGTCATATTGTTGTTTCTCTGCCGTCTCAATCGCTTTACCGATGCCGAAAAGACGAAGTTGCGTTGGTTCATTACGCAATTTCTCTTCCGTCGTCATATTGCTGTTTGATAAGCGCGACATTAATTATCACGGTGACGTATTGGCAAGAGAGAGAAAAGTGAGAAAAACGGCTGCAAATACTGAAGCTCTAACTTCTTCTACTTTTTAAACTTTCACTTTTTACAATCGACGGAATTGCCTGCTTTGAAGAGAGCTCGTTTCAATCGCGAAAGCGCTCGACCAATAATTACTACTTTACGTAATTCGTAACTTCCCTTCCGTAACTCGAAATAATTCCGTAATTCCGTAAATCTGTAAATTACGTGCAAGCCTAATTGCATGATAAAATTTTTTTACTCGTTCTGACCCAAAATTGTACAAATATAGAATTTAGTAGGAACAAAATTCATTTCAAGTGTTAATTTCTAGATATTTCGATAAGACTTACGTAAGAAAAACTAATATAAAACAGACCTAATAAAAAGAAATAGGCAATTGCTAGGTTGAAGAAAAAAGAAAACCCTTCTAAGTTACACGTGAGAACTGTCACGGAATATCTTATATCACCGTCTTATTCAAATATTTGACAAAGTTAACAATGAGTCAAGGACTCTTTAAAGTTTGTCCAGAGGTACAAAGAGCAAATCTAATAATGAAGTGCCACTCAGACTTTGTAACGGACAATTAAGTTGGGTGTCGGTAGAGAAGGATGTTCATTGGTTCCCAGAAGATTGACGCCTTTCCTTCACCAAGGATTTAAAAGTTGACGCTCTATCTCATTTTATTCGACATTTCATCAATCGTGTTCCCTGTAGTAGGTTTTCATCAAATAATTTAGATAGATTTTAGCATCCGCATATAGATCGCACCCGCGGACATTTGTACCCATGTATATTTGCACCGGCGGATATTTTTGCACCTTCGTACATTAGCACCTACTTACATTTGCAACCATGTACTTTGTACCCATGCATATCTGAATCCACGGACATTCGAAATGAAGACGGATATTTTAAGCATAGCTTGTATTCTTGCTGAGGGTCGCTAAGTTTTTACTGTCATTGCGAGTTATAATCCTATCCCACTTGAGTCGGTCATTTTCTTTCAATGAAATACCTCAAACGTAGTCGAAATGCAAATATCTGTGGGTGCAAATGTTCATGGGTGCAATCTGTACGTGGGTGCTAAAATCTGCGGGCGCAAATGTACGTGGGTGCATGGATAATTAAACCCTTATCGACAAATGGTATTGAAGTGCAAATATAAACTAGGCTCAAATACATGTCTAGTACTTTTAGTTAGAGGTGCTTATTATTTTGAAACCAAAATGTTCTCGAAATAGCCGTAAAAGTTGTATGGCACAACACGAAGTGTGTGTACCAATACTAAGGTAACTAATTTTGTTTGCCTACTTTACATCAAGTTGTGTAAATGAACTGGAAGTTATGGGCAGGTGATATAAATATTCACTTGGCTGACACAGACAGTCCCAGAACTCGTAATAGAACTAAAATAAGGAAAATCGAAAAAAATTTATGGCCCAACCCTAACCTGGTACACATACTACGGGAGTACCCACTATCCAACATGAGACATTGTATACATATGTTCTTTTGTATAGTTATGTTAATAAAAATGTATATGTGGTTTTGATTAGTTGATATCTGATATTGATATTAATTTGTTAGGAGTATATCTGAAAATCGGAATCGTGTGAATTGAATTGAATTGACGCTCAAACATTAATGTTTTATTGGACACGAAGTGTGTACATATGCATTGTTTTACTGAATTGTTGTTGTTGCTGTTATTGTTGTAGTAGGCGGAAAATGTCTCTCCGCTGCCATCCAATTAATTTGAAATTATCAGTGCTATCAGATACTTCAACTTAGAGATACTTATCTTATCCGACCGGAACTGATTACTCATTTATTGAATAAATAAACCCTTTAACAATTTTCCATATCGTCGGTATAAACAAGACAATCTATTCCTCTTTGTTTGCTACATGCATACCGTTTGTTTATAAGAGCAGACTGCAAATTTACACACAGATAACAAATGACAGAAATTGAGTACCATTACTTTGAATATATCTTAAAATGTTTACTTTTCTTCAGGCTGGTAAGCTGAAAGTCAAAACTGCGAATTTTAACGATCCTAATGAAAAGTAAGTTATATTTTTTATTCCAAATCTAATATCTTCTGTAGATATAGGCACTGTGTCTATATCCTGGTTTTTAACATTTTATGAAGGCGCTTCTGAAGTATGTGCATTAAGATGGCGCACAACCTGAACCCCAACCTGGTACACATACTACTATGTTTAGGTTGTGCGCCATCCAAACATATTTTTGACCATTTTAATACGATACCTTCAATGTCGCAAAAGAGATCAAATCTGCGGCCTTTATTGGTTATTAGTGATGTTATCGATTCAAATTTTGTGTCATTTTACATACATATATATTTCGCCAATGATTTTAGCAAACCGGGTTGCTCAATTCCTACACGATGATGCTTTTTAGGTACCCCTGTTTGTATTTTGTGATTTTGTGTAATTTGGCAAGAACGGTTTTCGTCGGGCTGATTTTAGCGGTAAATATTCTCACGTAAGCGCGTATTTATATCTCCCTCTTGTGGAGCTAGCAGCGAGGCTTAGTAAACCGATTTGGAAAATGTTGAGTTCAATTGATGAAAAAATTACATTGGAACATTTCCTACGAAATTGTTCGCAATGAAACTCTATTTTTTATTTTTGAAGTATTCTGGATATTCAAAAGTTCATTCTGGCAAAATTAAGCGAATGATCTAATGCTATACACTTCGATTAGTAAATGGCTCAAATCAATTATTTAATTCAAATATAAAATATTAATATTCAATTATTTTATACAGAAAATATGTTTCGAAAAAACGTGAAAGCATATGCCATTATTAAATTTGAAGCTTTAAAAATTCACACACACAAAACAAGAAATAGTAAAATTGGAATAAAACTATAACCTAACCTTAACCAGGTACGCAGACCACGTTCGGTGTCCTTCATCTTGGTTCGCATACTTCCATACCACCAAATTGATGATGCACTTTCATTTAGGCTATTATTATCATTTTTTTATTATTCAAATAGTAAACACTGATTACGGATTGAAATTTTGCAGGGTTGGTGACGAAGACAACAGTAAACATTTATTACAAAACGGAGATCAAAGTTTAGTGTGAAGGTTGCTGCTACTCAGGATATCATATGCATATTCGATGAATAACTATAAATATATAGATAAACGGATACGTGGTAGTGTTAGCGAATAAATATTCATTTGTTTGTCTTGTCTCAAACCTTCAACCGACCAAAATCCACACATTAATAGCATTCACATGACACAGTGTTTCCCAATATAGACGGGTCGCAACCCAGAATTGGGTCGTCTAGAGATTTTCTTGGGTCGCTTGTTTTTCCAAAAAAAACATGAAAGTTAATGATTTCACTTTCTAGTAAATTTTACTTTTTCATCGACATTTTTTTGAAGTGTTGCTCAATAGTAATTGTATATATATGTGCAGTCGCTTGTTTCTCCAAAAAAACATGAAAGGTAAATGATTTCACTTTCTAGTAAATTTTACTTTTTCATCGACATTTTTTTGAAGTGTTGCTCAATAGTAATTGTATATATATATGCAATATATCTGCTGCTGTTTTGCTTAAGTAAAGTCATGTGACGATTTCAAAAACTCGCTTATGGCAAATGAGCGCAAATTTTTCACATTGATGAGTTGATTTCTGGAAAAATAAATTTCATGTAAGAATGGTTGTTTTATAATGTAAAGTAATATTGCGACCATAAAAGCACTACATGACGCCTAGCATGAGCATATATCCTTTTTCAAAAAATTAGTATCGTACATTTGTCCCGCAATACACGTCTCGTGTGGCTGCCCTAAAAATTTAACACTCCGTCGATAATATAGACAGACAATTTCCTCTGTTCATTTTTTGATAGGTGTTTTATCATCTTGAATAGATTTCTTAGGTATTGCGCGAATTGTATCGTGTCTGTTAATTTTGTTGTGCGTTTTATCTGTTTTGGTGGACGAGACGTTTTTAACTCTTTTTTGAGTTTTGCTACGTTTATTCACTGTTATTTAAAACCCCATTGATGGGATTCAAAATTCCCCTAGTTTTACTAGAAATTCCTGCTGAAAACAAGAACCTCTCAAGAACGAGTTCGATGATATCAGAACATTTCAAGAACGGGTTCGATGATATCGGAACATTTCAAGGACGGGTTCGCTGATATCAGAACATTTTAAGAACGGGTTCGATGATATCATTACATTTCAACCTCTTTATTTTTTCCCTTGAAAAAAACATAACAACTATGACAACATTTGAGTTTCAACCACGATTTAAACGGTATTTATTGTCATATAATGCAAAAAAAGCGTTCTTTGTCATCGAAAACTATACGATATAAATCACAAATATTCAAGATAAAAATCGACATGCATAAGCCAAATCTCTAATGGCTATTCAGAAACATAATAACCCCACTATACGAGATGAATCTATCAATATAGAATTAAATCTCAAGATGATGATTGTTGAAAAATAGTATTAAGTATACATTCACTTTATGGTGTGTTCACTTCCGGCCATTTTATGGTAATTATATCCTGTTGTTGTCAAAAAATGTCACCACTTTCAAATTTTTTTAAAAATAAAAAACGAATTGAATGGTTTACTAAAGTAAATATAATGATAAAATTATCCAACTCATCATATTTTTCTGTACCAAAATCGTGGGGGAGATAGTCCAATAGTTAAAGCCCTAACTATGCTGAAATCGATAGTTAGAGGTCTCGGATCAATACTCGGAATGTAAAAAAAAATGGGTAAACATTTCCGAATCTCTGAAATTCCGGTCTTTGATAAATAGTAGCTTTTTGGCACTATTTATACAACACCCTGGAGTGAAGACGTGGGAGAATAATGGTAACTTTACCAAATGTAGTGTATTTTATTAAGTTTTGTCTCAGAATACTCAAAACACAGTACCGTTACATAAACCCTTTTATATCGTTTCATTTTTGTTCGTCATATTGAGGCTTTAGAATTGGGAATTGTCAGTTTGAAACAACTACACCGGCGCTGAGGCTTAGTCGTTCTCTTTTTGAATAGTTAAACCCCCCGTTAGGTAAGAGATTTAACAGCATACACGGATACATATGTGTAAAGAGACGGAAGCCTACGGGCAGGGGGTATATTGACTTCGCTAACACAAACAGTCCCCGAACTCGCAATATAAACAAAATAAGGAAAATAAAATAAAAATATGGCCTAATCCTAACCTGGTACACATACTACGGGAGTACCCAAATTTCTGAGGATATTTGACAAAATGTTGTTCCAACCTCGTTCAGAAACAACACCGCATAATCAAATATACAATCTACTTATTTAGTCACGCTTCGATTGCGTTGACATTAAAATTTATACTTCGAAAATAATACATAGCAGGATAATAACAAAATATATATTTAAACATAAAACCGATTGTTATTAAAATAAAAAATTAACTATAGCAACAAAACGTCGTGTTTTTATAGTTTCTACAAGGTAATTTGGTTGATTTGCGGAGGTAATTCTATGAAAATCCAGACCAAACTACAATGGTTGGTTGAAAATGAATACAGATAGAAACAATATTTTTCAATTCGACTCTGCTTGCAAGTACAAGAATTGTAACTTGGAAACCAAACCCGGAAACACAAACTGAAACCAACCTGAATTTACTTTAAGTAGAAAAGGCTTTAAATTTGGAAGTGGTATTAAATAAAACAATACTGAACTTTTTTTTATTATTCTGATTTTCAGTCAATTCCCAAAAATCTTGGTCGACCTAACAGTTTTGTTTAATCTTTTTGGCCTGTAACCCTGCTTGCGATTCAAACATTTTGCTTCTTATTTTAAGTTTGATATTTTCGGCCTACATAAAAATTGTATTTAATTCTTTGTCCAAACAACCCTGCTTTGGGTTTACATACAAACAAATATGATTGATACTGATGGACTGATAATATTGCATTTTCACCTTTTTGTTCCGGCCTTGCTAGTCAAATGCTAGTAATTTGAGGGCGTGCAGGAATAAAATAATATATTCCCAAGCTGAGATAGTTCATGAAAAACGGTGGAAGAAAACTGACAAAAAACAATGTATTTGATAATAAAAAAATGGAAACTCTTATTTAGAGACGTCATTAGATAAAATATTTTCAAAAATAATCACAGTGTATGAGGTAGCAAATGAGGAGGCTGGATGTAGCATAAAAACTTTATGTGAATTGGTGAACCAATCACAATATTCTAATCGTACCCGGATAAGATAACGAAATAATGTTAATAAGCTTCGTAACCACAAATGGGATAGAGTTTTTTTTTAGAATTGGGATGAGCTTGTTTTAGTACTGCTTTGTGAATGTACGTGAATTTTTGAATGCATTTCTTTTATTGAAGTTTCTAAATAGATCAGATTATATGATTATTCAGGAATGTTTCAAAACAAAGCGTTTTTGCTCATGTAATCCCCGTCAGTTGAAACAACCGCCTCGTTTAATGCCGGCAAAATTTTTTTTTGAGGTGTAGATGGCGTAGAATGTAATATATTGGACGACAATTTATTAGCAGGCAAAATTCGCACTGCTTCTTTTGGGACATACCCATCGTCCATTGTAGTCCAATCTATGTTTTCTAGTGTGGAAGTGCTCTTTGTCCATAAAGAGTTTTGAGAATGCATCATATATTCTGGAGCATCCGCATTTAAATCTTCTTCGTTTAATTTGCTTGAGTTTGATAGCAGTTTGAATTTGTTCAGAAATGTCTGTTCAGCCTTTAGTTTATCGTTTTCCTCATTAGAGTCAATTTCTACCTCTGTGTCTGAGTGAGACTGATCATAAGTTGAGGTAAAAGATATAAATTTACTTTGATAAGGACAAAACTCTATTTCGTTCAAGTCTGAAACCACAGTAGGTTCTAACGCAGAATGGAAGTCTTTTTGCATGTATCCGGATACTTCAGGTTCGTCGTTGTTATCATCAGGTGGAAAAAATTCTTTCGAGTCTTGTTCCTCATTATCACATGGAGTTTCGACAGTTTTTTCGGAAAGTTGATCGTCGTCGTCGTCCACTCTGTTAGATCTTTCATGAAATATTTGGTCTTCATCTTCATTTATTGAGGATCCTGATGTGCAACGATGGTTGGACGACGGTACAATAATATAACGTTGCGTTTCAAGACTGACTCGGCGATAAGGTGTATCTCCTGCAAAAGTATAATAATAAAAATAAATCTGCATCGTAGGGAGGATAGGAAAGAATATTTTCATTGCATCTGAAAATAAACTAGTGAATTATTCAGTTACAGAAATAAGATTGTCTTTTTAACTGTCCTTTTTAGGAATTTTAGGAGTAACGTTTTCCAACCGGGTAGAATTTTCTCCATAGGGAGAAATTTTGACGTTTTGTGGGAGGAAGTTTGCTATGTATTCGCTGTAGTATCATTAATATCCTTTTTTAATATTACAATTATACTTATTCATGAACACATGATAAAATATGGTAACTGTAAAGAAGCGGGGTGCGACTTGCTCATAGCACAAGCTTAGAATCCATTAAATCAATAAAGTAGTTTTCATGCATTTTTATGCAAAACCAATAAATTTTGCAAGCATTTACCATTTCCAAGAATCTTGTTCGGAATCTCTATATCTTTTTCATATTTTTTGAACGATCCGTCTTCTGAATTTGTCGATAAATCAAACTGTAACAGAGCAATTATTTATTTAGACTAGTGATAAATGTTCTTAATGCAAATCATACCGACACGGTTGCGAAATATGCCAGTAACTTGTTTACTATACGTCTACAACGTATTTTCTCCATAGCGCAATAAACGGAGGAATTATCCCGAATTTCATACGTGAGTTCCAGTTTTCGTGCAAGGTGATCTCGTGTCGGTTGAGCTGCGGGACGTGAAAAAATTCGTAGTGGTGGGCAATGTAGCAATGATGAGGGCTAGCTTAGCAGTTTTTACCCATTTCTTCTTAAATGCGTTATATCGCCGAAGTAGAACAAATAACCCTATGCCACATTATAAGGGCTTGAAAAATTTGCATTTTCGTAATAGTTCGGTTGCAACAACCAAACCTACATAAGGCATTACCTAAAACAGCCGTGTGCATCTTGCGGCCCATGGGCTAAATGCGGCCCACAAGGAAAAATTGTGCGACCCGCGAAACGAGTTTTTAATTTAGTTAAATCTGGTACGTACGAGCAATTTCAACCCCTTTGCTGTGCTACCTTCAATACAGGAGGGCCAGATACAAATAACTGGATGAAACCGCGGGCTACACTTTTAGTTGGCATAAGTTTACTAGTAGTTGCAGGCACACAAATTTTGGTTATTGATCTTGTAACATGCGTTGTTCGCTTCGCACAATCTATCTATTAGGGCATTGTGACGTCATAGACACTGATGATAAATTGGATACAGGTATAGGCTTCGCAACGCAAATGGACGAACCATTCCAATTATATTAGTTTGAGTAGTTTTGAACGTACCTTCATCGACTTCATTTCTTCCACCGTTTTCTTGTAGGATGGGAAACAAGTTTTTATATGTTTTCTATACAAGATTGCCAAACCGATCAACACTATCAGGACAGTTAACGAGATGGCAACGATTATCAGAATTATTCTCCACGGAAACGGCACGGGATCTGTAAATTGATAAACGGAATTGGTTACATGTTACATGACACGAAAAATAATGTTATACATAACAACATAATAAAGATACATAATACTCGGCAATATTTATACCGCATGCTTTTCGATCATCAAAGCTGGTTGGTAATAAGGTTACATCGATGACTCAGTCAGTCAAGTTTATTATTTCCAACCAGTAAAGAAGGCAGTTTTACACAAAGTACGAAGAAAAAGAATAATCACACATTTAAATTGGATAAGAGAAGCCGCGAGGAACAAAAGCCGGTTATTGAGCTATTGGGCAACTCCATCTCTATGTTGAATAATTCGCGTATGGGCCATATGAAATCCGATATTCACTCAAAATTTATTCATTTTATTTTAATATATGGAACATTGTTTTCATACCATCAAGCGTAGCCGTTTTGCTAATCCGATGCTTATCCATATTTAAGTGTGAGTGGCGCATAGGCTACCGGTACAGCGGCTGGTTATTGAAATTTCGTGTTCATACATTCAAGAATTTCTATCTTGGTTGTGTATTTTCTATAGCAGGAAACGCTGTTTCGAGTCATTCTCTCATTAAATATAAATACTGCTTCCGCGTGTTAACAAGCGAGTTTTTAGGACTTAAACCTGAAAGTGATAGTTGTGGATAAATAGCTCAAGTACAGTCAATCGAATTGGCTAGTTTTTGTTTGCAAGTTCAGGCTGGTGACGTCGCTAATTATCGATCTCGAATAAATAACATCAATAGCGAAATATACTTCAATGGCGGTGCGTTAATATCACGGTTGGATAGAAAACAAAGTGGATTTGGTTGACTGGAGTTTTCATAAATATATGGTATCACTCACGATGATTCTGCCCTGTGGCCAATAGGCACGGATTTTTCACAATAAGTGTGTATAAAATTTTCATATTCATTTCGCGAGAGAGGAAAACAGATACTGCGGCTAATTCTTATGGCGTACCAATGCCTCTCTTTCGGTTACCAGTTCATATCGGGTATGGGATTAGTTAGACAGTTATTCGTTCCAGATGCATGGATTTGATGGTAGAGGAAGCCTAACCCACCAGCAGTAACGTGAACCACCCTGCGGCAGTGTGGAGTCCAGCAATCCCGGCAGATATTTACCCTCACACAGCATTCCAATCTGCGAACTTGCGCAGGGTAATCAGAAATGCGACGGCAAATGTGGGCGCTTACCACGATGCGCCATATTGCCGCGTGTTACATCTTCGCTTCACTGTATGCATACAAGCAAGGCCTGCTCAATTGTTGTGATACATACACTGCCTGAATATATTTCCGCTATTTAGATACGTGCTTTGCCATCAGATCAATCAAGTAGAAAGTAAAGAATTTGTTTATGAGATGCGATATTTCACTCAGAATATACACCAACTATACAACAGTTGTTCCGCATATTTAATAAAGGATGTGTGACATTTTTCTAAGGTGATAGTGATATCACTTCTGATCTTGGAGGAGAGGAAAGCCGTTAACTCCGCTTAATTATATGAAGTGCCACGGCGTCTCGCCCTATTTGCAGTCCATGTCGGGTATGGGCTAGGTTGGCCAGTTATTTGTTTCATATACATGGACTTGACGGTGGAGGAAACCGTGATCGACCAGCGGCCACGAGAACCACGTGAAGGGTCCAGCAATCCTTTCGCACATAATTATCATCCATGATATTCAAACCCACACAGGATAAGCAGAGGTGCGATGACAGGCGTATTTTTAACGCTAACCAGACGCGCCACGCAGTAGTAGTCTGGTCTGGTTTTCCTTAATTAAAGCAAGAGCTGCACCGTAATTTACTGACCATGAGGCACACTTTAAATCCGCGATCACGTGTCTTATAAGCCAGTGCGCCCAATGTATAAATAAGGCAGTGATTTATGCCCATTTCCTACACTTAAATCCAGAACCAGTACCGGTTACGTCTTGTAGCACGATACGCCATATGTACGGAGTGAAAAAAACAATCTATGGTACCTAAAATATGATAAGTATACCAACATAAACTCTGTTCAGTTTTTAATTCATTCAATATTTTATTAAATTTTATGTAGTACAATTCGGCGAGCTAATCTTGAAATTATTCATCTACCTGTCAAACATATAGGATGACGACGCCAATCCGCCGTGTAGTTCGTTTTCATCCGGTAGTACGCACAAATGGTGTTGCCAGGTTTTGCATCGTACGATTGAAACAAACTTGATAAGGAACTCAATACACCTTCTCTTCTCTTTCCTTCCTCACAAGCTCTCTTCCTGCTGAAAGTTACGTTTTGAACATTAACTGTTAATCCGTAACTTGTCTTGTGTCCGTATTGTCCAAACCTGCCAGGGAGCTCAAAGAAACAGAAATCCGTTTTTGTTCTGTAATAGAAACAGAGAAATTTATTATGAGTGTAATTTTAATACATTTAATAGATAATTTATTATAAGAAAAACCGATGGTATAAAACACCAGACGTCATACTACACTCCGTAAAAACGTGTCGCGCAATCATAAAAGTCGAATTTGTTTCATTCATCCAACCTTTCATATTGTTCTAATGATAAGTATTTCATGTAAAGAACACGGCAATCAACTGTAACTCTAACCCTAACCAAATTTTTTTTTCCTGGTGTGAATATATCAATTTACGTTCGAAACTTAAATCCATTTATCTGATAATCGAACAATAAAGTTCAAGATACATATCTTTGGATAAAAATTAATAATTAATTTCGTAGCGAAACCCCGTTTCTCTGAAATTTTATACGCGCATTATATATGCAAACTCTGAAGGCCAACGAAATCCTCCTAACGCAAACCATCACTTCTGAGAAAGAGCGTTAAAATAACTGAAAAATGAGGAATAATAAACTGATGGAATGATCTGTGAGAGAAATAAGAATACTAGGTGAAAATACCACATGGGAAAACAAAACTCAAGCGAACTCTAAAATGGCTAAAAATAGTCTTGGCTCGCGATTGGTGTGTTGTTCAAATAATGATTAATGTCCTGGGGAAACGTGTGATCCTCACGTACTCGCAAGTCATGACAGTATGTCAATTGAGAAGTACTTTACGTTCGATATATGCAAAACACAATTCTTATGTTCATATATAGCAAAATTGCATTGCTTTGCTACGCTATGAATGTCAGGTTGTGTATCATTATTTCATTGCTCGAGATGCTTTCTAATATTTCATAGTTTTTTCAAGTTTTCATGTTTCTTCTTTCAAACTTGAAAAAAAAAAATTGTCGTGTGATACATTTAAAGATAAAATCTGTTATCTCTGTACGTTGTATGATAGATGACCTTCTATTGTTTTGCAGTAAATGATCGAAGAATTGTCAAATATTGGCATGTTATAAAATGAGCAGAAAATAATTTTAATCTCTGGGTTTTTAAACCTGTCATTTGTCAGAACCAGACTTAATACAAATTTGCTGTTTGCCCACAATATATAAAAACTCAGGAAAGGAAAACTTACCAAACTACAAACTCACATTATTTCTACTTCATTTTTATATCGGTTATAAATAATTAATAGGTTTTGTGTTTTTTTAGCAAAGACAATAAATAAATGATTATATTTTCTTCTTGCCAGTCAAAAAATCTTTTGTTTTAATTTTAATAAATGTACTACAAAACATCGCGTAAAATTACCAATATTTTTGCATAAATATCACAATATTTTACTTTCATCCGGCATCAAATTTTTGTTATTTTAACGGAACAGATTTTGCAATTTCGTTATCAACACACACACGTTACACGCACAAGTTACACATACGTTACACACAAGATACACACAAGTTACTTATAAGTTATCAATTTTGGTATCAACACAATCACGCGGTCACAGATACATTCTTGACATAAATTGTCCCGAAACACTAGTTTGTTAGAAACTTGTCTATACCTCATCAATTAAAATGATTATCAGTTTATTTGTTTTAATCTTACTATTCAACGATAATACTTGTTAAAATTTTGTGGAGTCTGTTCAATCGAAGTTAATCGGACCTCCAGGATATATCATGGTATTTGATAGAGAATCTAATCGCGAACAAACATGCAAATAAATAAATAATCGTGATAATCGTGACGTGCTGTCGATATTTCTACGAACGAAAAGATTGTTCATAAACAGTGTGGTGGGGTTTGGAATGAGTGTTCCGAGATTATAAGTCCTCTGTATATACTAACAAAGTAATCTATGACGCAGGCAGACAAGAATCTGCGGAGTTACAGTAAGATGACCTTAGACACGGTTTTAGCGGAAATAGGTTTTCATAAAATTGCCAATTTCGTAAACTTGGAGGTACTTCTGAGTGAGTGTGCGTAATTTTGTTCATAGATGATTCTTCTTTACTTCTGACCGAATGACTGTGACACTTCACAGAGATGAGTTTTTTTTTACTTACGAGGTAGTGAGTGTAACATTGCTCAGAGATGAGTATCTTTCATTTCTAAGCGAGCGAGTGAGTGTAACTATTCATATAGATGAGTGTCTTATACTTCTGAATGAGAGAGTGTAATGCCTTCTTATATAGTAACTGGCAAAGCCCAATGAAGAATTTGTGGAAATACAATGAGACGCGCGTTCAGCGGAAATAGGTTGAAATATAAATGTCAATTTGATGTGATTGAAGTGACTGAAAAGCAATCGAATACCGCAAGACGGCAATACATGAGGACAATAAAATGAATTAATAGAGTTTTAATGACAATGACTCAGTTAAATACATTAAAGATAATAAGTAAAATGCACATGCTTACTCACCCTTTAGAGCAGTCAGTACCGCATAGGTCATAGTATGTATCGTTAAGAGTCAGAGTTCCATTGTCTAAATATACACAAGGACACTTTGGATTGATATAACACCATTCTGGCATCCCTCGAGTAACTAAAAGCAAAAATAATAAGATGAACGAATTGCTATGTTTTGCATCAGTGAACTGGGCGTAAACGAAAATATGGTTTGATTGCGAGTTACACTGCAATATAGGATAGAATCAGCGGTTCTCTAACTTTTTAAGCCGATCCCGCCGCTTAGAATTTGTCAAGTTTCGCGCCCCACCTCAAAAATATTTAGCTAACAACAAGCTACAAATAACAGATAGTAAGTCGAAAGTATGTTTTATACAAACAACATGCTGAATATACGTAAATAAAACGTAAATATCCAAATAAATGAAGGAAAATATCCAAAATAAGGCGGGGCAAGATCAAATTTAACAAATATTTATATATTTAATTTTCAACGTCCGTGGGGCGCGCCCGACCGTTTGAGAACCACTGGCCAAGATATTCTCGCATACATACTACCACAAATTTATCCTTATTATATGATCTGGCTTTCATCCATTCCATATGAAAAAAACACATCACTAGCATAATGTCTTCAAACGATTCGTCAATATTAAAAATATTGTCATGTTTGTATTGACACGCTCATGGAAATCCAGCACAAATTTTTTTAGTTTGATAAATTGCCTCGTCGCGGACTGGTTCATATATAGCCCGCGTAAATATAACATTGAATTGGTTTCTCGCGTGATTGCGTGAATGATTTTAATAGCAGGGTTGGTAAATTATATATTATTTTAAGGTTCCCAGACCACATCCTGCACATAACAAGTTTTGGCGCTCCAGAAGTGTGTGTACCAATATGGAGGTAACTAATTTTGTAAGGTACTTTTGGAGGTAATAATTTTATTCCGAAATTACTTAGTTGAGGCTCACCTTGTATTGATGGCACAATTCTAGTGAAAAAAATATTTTCATACTATTCTTACCATGAATTGTTTTATGACAAAATGGATAAATTCTACTGGCTGTCGGTGCAACAATGGTGTATTCTGCTCCGTCAGATGCTGGGAGTTTACAAGGTTTATCCAAGCTACAGCAATTGTCTATTGAGGTATAGTTTCCATGCCAAATTCTGAAATAATAAAAGAAAAAATGAGTGAGAAAATCTCTTATATTGCAATTTAAATTTTTGAGAAAAATGATAGTTGTTGTTCGGATTATCAAAGCGACTATTTGTCTTGTAAAATTATTCTTGTGAGGGACAAATGGCCGCTAATGACTAGATGTGTAAGCTGATACACGACAGAACAGCTAATGCATGTCTCCGATCGTTTCTTCATATTCGGAGACTTGATCGACGAATTATCAATATATGAAATCTTTTCGTATGTTTATGCGTTGCCTTTGCTCTGTATATCGCTTTACACGCCATCGTGACATAGCGGAATCTGACAAGGCAAATTAGTCGAGTTATGAATTCTTTATTCAAGATAACGATATTATAACGTACAGGTTAGGTACGTTATAATATCGCAAATTCCAATTTTAGTCCGCTTAATAGTACAACATAGATCTGACGTGGGCACAATATACGGCCCGCGGACCAAATCCGGCCCGTTTGGTAATTCAATCTGGTCCGCCTGATGCTGCCCCAACCAAACTAAACCTAAATCTTGATGTTTTAGCTAAAAAATAGCTCGAGGAATTTGTTGAGATTGTGATTAAATTTAGTTTTGCCACGAGACTTATTGTTTTCCATTTTGATTTGTAACACTGTAAATAGTGTTCATAAACTGTAACTTTTTATGTCACACTTACATAGCCCCCAGTCTAGGTGGGCCAAAATTTTGGAAAACTTATTGTTTTCCCCATTTGCTTTTGTAATACTATAAATATTGTTAAAAAAAATGTAACTGTTTATGTCACACTTACATGGCCCGGAAGTCTAGGTGGGCAAAAATTTTGGCCCCTGTTGCAAAAACCTTGCCCCCCCCCCCCTTCAAGATTAGGTTCAACGTATTATCATTATATTACTGGTGTTTGTTATTGTGGTGATATTTAAAAATCTTTCTTTATGAAATTTAACGCAAAACACAATAACATCCTCTAACAGCAATGTTTGATTGGCATTTTAATTTTCGATTGACGCCACTCTGTCCAAATACTGACAAAAACAAAAGTTCGGCGTGTCTGATGTTGTAACTTTATATATATAATTAAAGGTTATAACAGTATCACGCATATTAAATTTTTCACATCAAATAATGGTCATTATAGTACATGCAGGGTAATTTCCGGTCATTATGTTTTCTTCGAAGTGCACGCGATTTAGATGTCAAGCGGGCTAAGCATGTTGTACATTATGTTACGATGCTTTCCATGAATACAAAAGTTACAATTTTCATAGTAACGTACAGTTGCAAAGAGTTTTAATCATTGTTTTGTTGCCTTTTGAATTCATCGGTGAGGAAACGATTTTAGAAATAGATGTTCTCTACTTATACGCTCATACACATACGCTCCTTCGATGACTTAAATGCAATTTACACGGGTAATGATCGACAATATCCAGAATGTTATAGGCTTTACTAATTTTGCACATAAATAATATAGAACACTGATAAAAAGCTGTCATATTATAATATTTTATTCTTTTTAATAATTGATTCGTTTTTTATCCGATTTAAAAAAATCTTCAAAAATAGATTAAAACATATTCTAACACTTCTTGCACTAAAAGATGATTGGGAATTTATTGTTACATCTCACCTAAGAATGTTTATTCGGCGCTCCAGAAGTGTGTGTACCAATATGGAGGTAACTAATTTTGTTCGCCTACTTTACATCAAGTTGTGTAAAGAAACGGAAACTTGTAGGCAGGGGTATACTCACTTGGCTAATACAGGCAGTACCCGAACTCGTAATAGAACTAAAATATTTTCAGTTCAACCGTTAAGCTTTAGGAAAATCGAAATAAACTTATGGCCTAACCCCAATTCTTGGTACATATTCTACGGAAGTATCGTTTATTCTGTAAAGGGAAGCTACAGTTCTGACAATCAATTCATATTTGGAATAATAAATTCTCTTTTACAATAAATTCTTGAAGATAATAACTAAGACGGAATTGGCAAACAGTAAGGAGTAGGAAGGATATGATTCGAGGAAATATTATTCGGTTCGAGTCACATTTGTTGCAATTGTCAATTAATCTTATTTAGGTCAACTTTAAAAAAAATCTGGAAATTTGGAAATGATTTCAATTTAATCGCATCATTGAAAATATGGTACTCCCGCAGTATGTGTACCAGGTCAGGGTTAGGCATAAGTGAATATCCCCCCTGCCCATAGACTTGCGTCCTTTTACACAACTTGATGTAAAGTAGGCGAACAAAATTAACTACCTCCATATTGGTACACACACTTCTGGAGCCCCAAAAATATACCATTGATTAGCCTCTCGACAAAACACTTTGTGAAATAGAATTTCATGATGAATTTTAAAAATACGCTACTCCAATGTTAAGCAAAAACCCTTCCAACTAATTTTTGTACACCAAAAAAAAAAACGCCGTCGTCAACATACCAGGTTGCAAACATACCAGGTTGTCAACAGCATTTTGTAACGCGATCAGTTTTAGTTTTGATCGAACTTTGGTCACCACCCGTGTCCAGAAATAACAACCTCTAACTAAACCGTCCCAAGTGGGACTGACTGTGTAATCAACTCATTCGGTTACATATTCAAATTCAGATATTTTATTTTTATCATGCAATTATCAATGCAATAAAAAGTGGCAACAGTGTATAACGGCATTAAAAAATGTAAATATACACATCAGAATCAACGTCAAAGTTTCATTACAATCGATAAATCATTTTCATAGGCGTGTTTTTTAACAATTTGTAACCAATGTTATTGCTTGTAGACCCGAAGCAGCTTATCTACATTCCAAACGCAAGTCTAAAACCGCCCAAAACACCGCTCAAACCTTCTGGTGGTTGTGTATTTCCCGACTTTAAGACTTGGTATTTACTAGGTTTGGTATAAAGTGTAATAGATAGAAATAGAAACGGACGACTCATCGTTGCTACCTATTAGACTTCGAAGTCAAATGAATTGAGATTAATTCAGCCACGGTTTGCGTGAATAGAACTATAAGCTTTTAATAAATGTTCACCTATTTCAAATATAAACTCTATAGGTTATATTCTGAAAAATTCTTTCGCAATATCGCTTTCAGAGTCAGTCTTGCAATATTTGTACAATTATTCTTGCGCAGTAGGGTTAAATGAAGTGATTTCTTATTAAAAATTCAATACTAATTCTTATTTGCTTTGTATTATTCCCGTGCTTTGTAACACAGATGAATCCCAAGCATAATTTAAGTTGACAGTCTATGCCGATCAATTATCTGGCAACCGTGAATTTTCCCGCAGGTCGCTCACTTCATTCTGAGATTTTTGGGAGCGCACCTCTGTCATTGAGCTCCGGAACCTTGTTTTCGTAAGAGTCAATTTCTCATGTTTTACTTTTTATTTATCAAATATTTGGAGTGATCGTCTTATGAATAGATTAAATTGTGTGTAACTGCCGGAATAAACTGACCCACTGATGGCCATTACTTCAATAAACTCGAAGCAACAAAAGTTCGGTGGTCTATTTAGGATCGGATCACCCGCACATTGAATCACACAATACCATTCCATATTCATAGTTGAGTGATAGCACCAGTTATTACCGACATACATAGTAAAGACACTAGAATGTTCACCCCAGTCTGACATTTTCGTGGATTCATTTTTCGATGATTAAAAAATTTTTTGATTACGAAATCCGCAGACTGAATTGTTTCAAAATTAGAAGCAATCCAATAAATGTAGCAAATGGATTTTTATCACCAAAGTCAGACTACGGACACTAATAAAAAAAAAAAAACGCTCACGCTCACAATAAGAAAATTTGTCTTTATCCAGTTAGGGTTATGAATGCAGATTGCACTGAAAATTTAAATTTCCGAATCATTACCATTCCTAACCCCAAATGGGTAATTACTAATTTGTTATTTTAAAACTTGGCGGGGGTGATTTTCTCAAATCTCACATTTTTACATTAGTGACGGCGGCTTTGTACAAAAGATCCCAATGTTCAGCCTAGTCTGAAATATTCATGGATCTATATCGCGTTGCTAAAAACATTTGTTGATAATCAATAATAGTCTTGTGATTGGATTTTCTGATTGTTTTCTCCCTACTTATTTTTTTTTCTAATTTCTGTTTTAAATAAATGTGATAATTGCTTTAATCGATTCCTTGGGTCGTGAAAAAAACGGAGTTGCCTTGTTTTGCTGTGAATGAGAAAAGGGATCCGGTTGCAATATTGGGTTGAGCAAATTTTTTGTTGTTCTTGATATATTTTAAGTCGCTTTCAGGTGATCTGTGGTATTTCATAATATATGTAGTGGGTAGTCGTACATTGCGTACTTTTTGTAGCAGATCGCGATTGAACGGTGACGGTAGAAAAACAGCTACTGTATTGGTAAAGAAACATCCACTCAACACAGACTAAATTGTATTCTGCTCACCTTAAAATTGTTATATTAAAGTTGAGAGGATATCGTTGATGTATTATCCTAGATTTCATAATTCTGACGATAACTTCTCTTTCACTTGACGATTTGTAAACCTTTGAATGTGTCATCTTGGTACAGGTCTTTAGTTCTGTTAAAAATTCCATATTTTAATTTTTACTTGGTTGAAGTTCAAACACAAAATAGAAGAAAAGAAAATGTAAATAGTAAGATGATCAAATAAAATAGTTGCCCATTTTTCGTCCTAAATAAAATGCGGAGTATAATACTGTAGCTTAGGGTGGTCCGAAGGTGGTCCCTTTCAATGAAAAAAATAAACGCCACACATTCAACATATCAATAAGCAACAGGATCATTCTTGAATAAATTGTAAAGTAAGGAAACTCGCCGTATTTTGATTACTTTTGGGTTTTCCCGACTGCAGCCCACAAGGCCGCCTCAAGTTTATTTGCGGATCTCCAATCTCGACAGCTCAATTACTATCTTTATTACAGTATTGTGATAAATCATTTGTGGTTTAAAATGATCGTTTGTGGCTTTGATATCGAACTTAATTAAAAACACTCAATATTTAATGACAATTCAGATATTAATCAACAATTTCGAATAAGAAAATTAATTTTAGACACGACCATTGCACGTTTACAAAATCATATTTATTGTTGTTTTGCTTTTCGATTACCGGACCTCATGCTTTCAAATTTTTGAAGGTTGAAAGGTTGAAGTGTTTTCCAGCAAGGTATAGCTTTTATATTATGTCAAATCTCATCTGGGACCCGTAATTTTACCAAAATATTTCCAATTTTGATAAATGCCGTCCGAATTTTGCGTCTCATGTTCACGGGACGGGATAGGTTTTCTAGAGCAGGGCTACTCAACTATTCTTACCGAAGGTCCGCATACAAAACTTCAAAAATATTTTGGTCCGGTCGCCAGAAATTATATTTCGGCATCCTTAAACGCGCACTTCCTCGGCCGACTAATGATTATTAGCTAATCAAGATTGTTTGTTATGGCGTTATAGTTTTTTTCATAAATATTTTTAAATCTATAAAAGTGATTTTATAAAAGGAAACTTCAAAAGTGGGGCTAATGATCCAAAATAAAGAATTATGCGCGGTCCGAATCGAATACCCGAAAGGACAGGATTCGGACCGCGGTCCGCCAGTTGAGTAGCCCTGCTCTAGAGTAGACCAGGGTTACTCAACAGGCGGACCGTGGTCCGACCTTGGACATTTTAAGTTTTGGATTCGGACCCCACCTAATTTTTCTTTTGGATCATTGGGTCATCACTTTGAATATGTGAAGGCTTTCCTTTATTGAATAACTTATTTTATAAGGTTATTTTATAATTTGCACCTGACTATATTTTAGAAGAAACTGTAACGCCATAATAAACAATGCGAATAGCGCTATCTTGATAAGCGAATATTCATTGGTTGGCAGAGGCTGAGCGCGTTTGAGGATGTCGAAATATAATTCCTGATTCCTAATTTTGAAGTTTTGTATACGGATCTTCGGCAAAATTAGTTGAGTAGCCCTGCTCTAGTATATCGAACCCAGGTAACGTTACATCTATATATTTAGGCATCGATCCTGTACTTAAATTTTTATAAATAATACTCTCTGAAGCCGTGATTATGGCGATAAAATATTTAAAACTCAAACCGTATCGTTTTATTTATATAGATCTCCGTCACATATTATGATCTCATAATGATAGTTTGTTTATATTTGACTCAGATATTTTGCTTTAAAATCATCAATTTTTATAACAATATCACCATAAATCATTTTTGTGACAAAATTACAAATGACTTTCAACCAAATTAAACAAAGGAGTGAACGCGTGCCTCGGGCAAAGATATTTATCGATTTAAATAACGATTTAATAAATTCAAATTTAAATGAAATATATAGTTTGTCATTTATTGCAGTTTACTAAATTAGTTTTATTCAATTTCCTTGCAATTCAATTACTTTATAATGTCGAGATAATTTTATTTAATTTACCTAACCGATATTTTTGAAAAAATACTTGGAAAATAATAACCAAAAAAATAGGGATAATAGATTGTTGATGTGAGAGTTTATACTTACTCATTTTACCAAAAACCGACTTGTAGTGAATATATTTAAATTCAAATTTCCAATCAAATCCGAACTCTAACTGGATAATTACTTGTTTGTTATGTCAAAACGTGACGGGGAGCTTTACTCTAATCTCACATTTTTGCATTACACGCGAGGGTTTTGTGCAAATGATCCAAATTTATTGATAAATATAAAGTTCAGTGAACGTGCATATAAATCACCGTGTCTGAAACCGCGACGTTCCCGATGTCCCCAGTTTTTGAAACCGTACTGTACATGAAACATAGGTCCTTTCACGAGCTTTTGGGTCATAGTCACCTCTATTGAGTTTGAAATAGCTCTTATGATTACTATATTTTCAATCACTCCGGCCATAATTGTTTCCTTATCAAAACTGAACAATGCGTGTTGTGATCTGCAAAGGGAACACGCCGATAAGGGACTGAAACCTATGGGTAGGGGGTATATTCACTCGAATAACACACACAGTCCCCGAACTCGTATTAGAACTAAAATAAGGAAAATCGGAATGAAATTATGGCCCAACCTTAACCTGGTACACACACTACGGAAATACCGATACAACCCTACTTGCCCAAACTGAATGATAACTTGCAGCCAATAAAGTGCTATCGATCCAACCTCAAGTTCTCGTGAAAGAATACTGATACAGCGGATTGTTGAAGAGTTCGAGAAACTAGAATTAATATTTGAGAGAGAGAACACAAAATTGATTTAATTCAACGTTGAAGTCAATTGGAATTCAGTGATAGACTGTAATACAAAATGAATAGCTAAAAGTTGATCTTGATGAATAGAAATCTAGCATACGCTTTTCTTATATGGAGACATATACTCACTCTTTTGCCGGGCCATGATGGAAATGCCGGTTGGGTATTTGACAGTGGTTCACAAAGCAGCCATGAGTAAAGTTTTAGGGACTAATGGTTAACGAATAATTTTTTTTTGGAAAATGACTATGTAAAATGGGCTTAGGAAAAGGAAGATAAGGAGATTTTAACTTGGATTTGAGTGAAAATTGTGATCTATTCGCCGCTGTTATGTTGTTTTTATTGTTCGCTTGTTGCTTTGGTCCCGAACCATGTTCTGACTTGGTCAAGCACAAATGCTCAAGTAGCTTCTATTTTAGTTTGAAATAACAAAAGAGTAATTTAAAATGAACAATTATCGAAACTCGCCTCAGTATTGTAATTTAAGTGGAACTGAGGTACAAATTAAAACCAATCACCAGAAAACTCGTAATTTTTGTGGAAAAAACATATAATTACGCAAGTGTAGGTTTCGCTGAATAAATTGTCCCAAAATAGCTCATTTTTTTGGAGAATTTTACGCAACTAGTTACTTTTTACTGGCCCCTAACACGCCTTCAGGCAGTTGCCAAAAAATAATTTGAAAATAGAAAACACCATCATCAGCACGTTACAATTAATAATATCAATTAAATATTTATATAAGCAAACTCATGAACTCAAAGTGGAAATTTTTGTGCAACATTTGGGCAATTAAAAGAACAAAAACGAGGTCGAATATCGTGTTGATTAATAATGTACAAGACGTTACGGTCAATTAAGTTGTATATATTTGAATTAAATTTATAACTTGATACGATGACACTAAACCCATTAAGAAAAGGTTGTACTGTAGCAAAGAAAATCACTTTCATCGTTATTTTAATCGATATCTGACTGCGCTTTGTGCAGCCTTGTCAGTAATTGTCATTTACGACCATGTGACAATGATCGATCGCTCAACGGATCGTGTTCTTCCGATAAAAAATGACTATGCGATATCTAGATCTTTCATTTATTAAAACATCTAAGACATTGAAATATAGCTGTAATGTTGATTCCGCTTTCAAATCAAAACTGACCGTTCTGTATGTTACCATCATAACAAATTAATTAACTGGGTGCTCCCGTAGTATGTGAACTAAGATGGCGGAACCTGAACATAGTCTGTGTACCAGGTTAAGGTTAGGCCATAATTTTATTCCAATTTTCCTTTTTTTAGTTCTATTACGAGTTCGGGGACTAGCCAATGACTCCCGTAGTATTTGGACCTGAAATTATGGTCTAACCCTAACCTGGTACACATACTACGTTTCGGTGTCTGCCATCTTAGTTCACATACTACGGGAGTACCATTAAATGTTTTGAAAATTGCAACAAAATATACAAAATAAATAATTTTTCTTACCTGAATCTTCGCCCAACTTTTGAGCTTCAGCAGTGCAAACATCTTCTTTTTTAAATTGTTCAATTTGTAGAGAAAAGCAGGCTGGCATCAGCAGTATTAATAATTTGATGAACGCAGGCATTTTGGACTGATTAATTAGTAATATATACCACTGTAAATGAAAAATTTATTCAATTTTGAAATTGGATTCACAAATATGGTTCAAAATGCTTTTCTGTCTATTAACATGAAACTAAATTTTTTTCGTCTCTGAAGCGCGTCGAGCAGGGGCTGCGTTTGCGTCTAATCCGTACGTTAAGCCTATTGTTCACTGTCGCGTACAAGCAGACAGCTCCGTCCGAAGCAAGAGATCAATACATTCCGAAAAAATTAATTCGTATCGTTTTACACTTTTACATGGACTTCAAATTTCTGTATCTCTTGCACGCGTGAATGCATTGTTGTAGCAATATGCTAGGAAACAAACAAAGTAATAAATTACGTCGAATTTATATTATATAATGATGAATCAAACGATTGCATAACAATAATTAAAAATTACTGTACGATTCAGTAATCCCACCTGACCCTAAATTTTACAAGATACCTCAACAATGGTTAGTTTTCGTCGATGTTTGTTCGCATGTAAACTAAGGACAAAACTATGTTATGCAACCAGATCTGCAAGTACCATCTGCAATCAACAAACAACACTCTAAGTGGTACGTGTATGACCTATAATTACACAGGACTTATAAATCACACTATTTTGTACTTCGCTGAAAATAAATGCTTCTCATTGTTCGTCTTCATAAGACAGTGAGTGTGTGTGATTGGGGACTGGTTTTATATAACAAGGAAATCATACAAGCTCGTTATGAAACTTCGGGAAGCGTTTATTTCCTTTATGCTGGGAATTGACTAATGACATGTCGAATGAAAAATTCACAATGTACGTTTGGTCCAAGATTGGGAAATGGAAATGTATATCGCGTCTGTAGTTAGCGTCCCGTAATTAATATAAAAATGAATGTTGTGGATATCGCGAAATTATTAAGTACATTAAATAGTAACACATAACTAAAAGAGAAATGAGGTTGCTTGAATATCCATTTTCAAAACTGACTAGTATAGTTGAGTGACAAACAGAGTCCCAAACGCTATCCCAACGTCCCTAAACTCTCAAACAGCGCATTACTCAAGAATAAATTTTAGCCAAAATTTTGGTAATCCATCATATTAAATCGAAATTAACAGCTACTCATTGACATAAACATGTTATAATAAGTTTATAAAAGTCAAATGTAAATGATTGAAATTATAATTCAAAACTTTCCGATGCGAAAGAAAACAAAGTTTACACCTCCCTGACTTTTAGGATGCCTCTGAATCTATAATAAAACTTTTTTGTAGGGGGCTATAACATTAACATTTTTCCTGGTGTTCTTTCCCCAAACTTTTCAGTTTATCTACAGAAAAACTGCACTGTACTGAATCAACCTTGTGTAGCGTCTTTAAAATTAAACCCACTCTCCATATTGTGGCCTCATAAGCCTTTTCGGGAAGACTATTTAGCATTTAGATAATTCTCCTGACTAAAAACACGTATTGCGACACACTTTATTATACTTCCATATTCAACTTACATAGCTAATGTTAATTTCTCATCCCGCACTACTGAACAGCACTCGACGTCTCTCAAATTACAATAAATGAAATAATATTCTTTTTATTGAATATACATTGGAAACAATAACGATAATCGGAAGTGGATTGCTCTGCACGCCACGTTGACAAATCCATCAATGATCCAAACCTAATTGAACAAGAACGTGTGGTCTACTTGTCAGATAGCGTGCCAAACGTACACAAACCACTTGTAATATTATTTTCAGTTTTATGTATAGAACAAAGGTACTGACTTTCTATTACTGTAAACACGAACAAAATAAATTAAACGCGAGTTCATCAACTATCGCACGAACCTACTTAATAAATTTATCAGTTTAAAAACGAAAAACGAAACGGTAGACATTTTGGACGAGTATAACAATTGAAGTAATCAATTTAATAGGAGGGAATTCGCAATTTCTAAAGAATGACTTGCAAAAATGACCTGGTTACGTCATCTAACAAGAAAAAAAAATGTAATCACGCCACACAGAACTTGACAGATGATCATGAAATAACGAAAATAGTTTCACGTAAATGCTTGACATCGTTGTAAACTCCGATGCCAAATGTGTGAGAGTTGACTTGTGGTTGCACAATGATATGACGATTAATTTCATTTTTTGTTTATATACTGATATACTCATTGCACCTAAATAGCGCATGATTGTCACAAGGTATGTTCTTTTTGAGGATAAATAAAGCACAATGCCTGTTAGCAAAACGATTTAATTTGCCGACGTTTTGAATTTCTAAAAAAAAAAAACTTCATCAGGGTAAAGAAACGACACTAACGAAGGGGAAAAGAAAAACATCATCAAGGAGCAACATCTAATCTATAATCAAGATAGTATAATTTAACAAAAATTCAAAACAACATACTACACTCGCTTTATAGGCCGGAGTAATAAATTAGAAATTCCCGTTAAATGTGATGAATTGATGAAATAGGTCGTAAGACCTCAATCCCAAGTATAGTAACTAAAAAGTTAATCTGAACTTCGATCTTTTTCTGATCTGATATTGACTTGAACTAATTGGCAGCTCGATTCAATTTGTACTTTCTACCGTAAAATGTACCGATGAAATTGTATTTTGGCTCAAGCTCAGTTTTATATAACTTCTGAGTAAGTGCACATGAACTTGCTTAAAGCAAACTTTCTAAAAATGAAAATATTTGGAAGTTCTTGCTCTCGAGTATATTTTTATTTATATTAATTAAAAAGTCTAAATATCTACAAATGTCGGTACAAAGATCAAGCATGTGGGATTTTCTATTCAAAATTGATCGGGAAATAAAAGTGATTAATTATAGCCACATTTACCTCGATACTAAGAATTTATTCGCTTCGGGCCTTTACATTTTTTTGTTTTGTTATTTTAACACTTCATTGTTTCACTGATGATATCAATTATTCTTAAACACTGACCTTTGGTTTCTGTCTTTTGCATGGAAGTATTATTCCAGGTGATCTTCGTCGCCCGAAACGATGCGAGCAATATCATACCCAAATTTACCTTAATACTAAGAAATTATATTCTTCAGGACGTATTTAAAAATTCTTTTATTTTAAATACTTCCCTGGTTATAACAATCCTTTTAGAACAGTGGCCTGCGTTTTCTGTCATTTGCATTCAAATATTATTCCAGGTGATTTTCGTCGCCCTAAGCGATGCGAGCAATATCGTTACCAAATTTACCTTAATACTGGGAAATTATATTCTTCAGGACGTATTTAAGAATCCTCTTTGTAAATACTTTCTTGGTGATATAATAATTTTAAAACATTGACTAGTGATGATCTTCGTCGTCCGAAGCGATACAAGTATTATCATACCCAAATTCACCTTAATACTGAGAAATTATATTCTTCAGGACTTATTTAAGAACCCTCTTTTATTTTAAATATTTCCTTGGTGATAACAATCATTTAACATTGGCCTGTGGTTTCTTCCATTTGCATTTAATAATTGCTATCTCAAAGGGATCTCCGCTACCTGAAGCAGACTCAGTGTGATTAGTTCACCCTTACTTTTATAAAATCTGTTCTTAAATTTCTCGCAGGCTTTCTATTCATTAGCAAAAGCCGGATCTGTTACAAGGTCACGCGAGGTCTATAAAGCGGATCAAAATCTTTTGGGCACTCCCGTGTTTGTACAGTTCAGGTAGTTTATTATTGTGTTTACGAATAGGTATTATAGCAATAACAAAATACTAAACAATATTATCAATACTACAGAGATAAAAAGCAAAGTCCTTACCCCCCGAAAACGGCAAAATTCCTCCTGGGACGGGAAACCCTGGCTAAACTAGATAGATTCCGCAAAATCATCTTGTAAGATAACCTAACATGTCGAAAACGTCAAATTTTTGAAGCGTAGCATAATTTTAATCTGCATTATTTACAAACCCTTCATCTTGATAATGAATAAATAATACCGCAGTGTACTAGTCGGAAATCCCCTCATATCTTTCAAATCATTTTTGCTTTTAATTATTATAAAAGTTGTTGCGCCGACATAACGCGAAATCATATGGAAGCATGCGATGCGGCATTTTCTAAACACGTGTAAAAACAATTTCCAGGGTGTTCATATCAGTCCTGTTAGAATTTTAGATTATAACGTTGGAATAATATAAACAGAATTTTGCAATTGTAACATGAGACATGCACACCATTTAGTGTTAGCATGTGAATAACCTTAATTGATCTAAATTTATAAACATCATTCAAAGTGTATTTCTTTCAAAAATGCATGTTTCGGGTTCCTAATAATCACAAGCAATAAAATATATATATATATATGATATGATGTAACAAACAATTCAAACAAATAAATAATATCTAGTTGTCAACAAAGAACTAAAAGCACGCTGGTATTGCATTTACGTGATTAAATAGCAAAAAAGTCACCGTTTCAGTGGGTTTTTCGAAGTGTATAATATAATTCCATTCGCATCATGCAAATAGATTTGTGCGGTAGTTAGCTACATACTACGGCTCATCGCAAGTAAAATTACTGATGATTTTTAACTATATCTTCTGATCATGCGGATATAAATTGGATTAATATTTCAACATTTTATTCCACCTTCGAAGACAAATTTGTTGTGTACTCTAATATTGTAAATACTTTCCCGTCTAGCCATTTGATATGAAACTTGATTGCCAATTTCTAAAGAAAATGTTTCAACGTATATTTTTCTTTGAAATAACGGTAAAAATATATAAATAAATCAAAACTTTAATTTGCGTTTAACGTTTGAAGACAGGCGTTTGTATTGTTAAAATCTAGACAAATTTGACTACTTTTTAGAATGAAGGTAACGAAATTCAAATACAAGGTATTGACTGTCAGACAAAATAATGAAACGTTAAAAAATTGTGGGAAAAATGAAGCAAAATTTAAATCAGTGAACTATACTTTTGTTTTCTACTTTTATCAAAATAACCTCGCATCGGTTTCATGTTCCAAGTTTGTCTACTCAAAATTTT